TATACCATCAATTTGTGAATACCGTAGTTTCTTCTCTCAGCTACATCACATCAATAATATTGATATCAATATGGACGAGGGATTAACAGCCATTTTTTCCAAAGTTAACAATTCTGATTTTACAGAAAAAGAAAAAGCAGTTATACGAACCTATTTCATCAAAAATTATTCTTTAACAACGATAAATTCAACGAATGCCATCCTTAACTTTTGCACAACAAAAGATGAAATACATAATTGCTTGAGAAATCTAATCCCTGAACTGCGCAAAATCTGTTTGTATATCGGCTTAGTCTTTCAATATTATATATTTAATACATATGCTCTTTTTCTATTTTGCTTTTAACTAACACCAAAAACCACTTTGCTGGTATGGATAAACAGATGCCTATACAGTCCTTAATAATCCTGGTTTCACAGAAGAGGAAAAAGCAACCTTACTCTCCTATTTTGCCAAGAATGATGATTTATTAAATTCAGCAAGCACAGTTCTTCGTTTATGTACAACTGATGATGAGAAGTGTGCATATTTAAGGAGTTTAATCTTTGAATATGGTATATTCTCAAATAATGTTAAATTTGCTTCTATATAAGTCTTAAGAAATATTAGATTTATAATACTTATGCTCTTGTTTTTTTCTGTTTCCTATAATGAATATTGCCTATTTATCTTCATTGAATTGACAGATATTTACCCCATACTTAATAATCCTAATTTACAACAGAAGAAAAAGTGACTATACGCACTTATTTTACTAAAAATGATGCTTTAGTGAGTTCAGCAAATATCACCCTTCATTTATGCTCAACTGAGAAGGAAAAATGCGATTATTTAAAGAATTTAATCTTTGAATTTGGTATATTCTCAAATAATGTTAAATTTGCTTCTATTTATGTCTTAAGGAATATTAGATTTATAATACTTACGTTCTTGTTCTTTTCTATTTCCTATAATGAATATTGCCTATTAACTTCATTGATATGAATATTGAATTAACAGATATCTATACCATACTTAATAATTCTAATTTCACAACAGAAGAAAAAATGGCTATACGCACTTATTTCACTAAAAACTATGCTTTAGTGAGTTCAGCAAATGCCATTCTTCGTTCATGCTCAACTGAGAAAGAAAAATGTGATTATTTGAAGAATTTAATCTCTGAATCTGGTATATTCTCAATCAAATATCAAACTTAT